CATTCATATTCCAATCAAAGAATTTACAGAATAAGGAAAAGGAGTCTAAAGTAATTTCAGTAGTTCCATACATCTTTATCTCGAATACTTTTCTAAAACATTCAAAGTACTAGACATTTTTACACTTTGAATCTCATATCGATTTCTAAAATAATCCTAGTTCGATGTAATATAGAACGTGGTTTTATGATATAGATTCCAAGTTCGCAACCATTAGCTCGATATTGTCCTCGGTTTACAGTACTTTACCGATGACAATACCGATTGCCCAGGCCTCACCACGAGGAGGTTGCTGCGAGTGGAGGCCCAAGGCAGGTAGATGGAATCACAAGTTCTACATCTACCCACCTTTCACAATAAACCTTATAAATTACTTAAATCTTAACTATATAATACTACCGATACTAAAATCCCTCGGCGGATGACTTCTTTCTTGAGCCTAAACCTATAAAAAACTAAGTTCCCTCGTCGGTTGTCTTCGTTCTTCAGCTTAGAACTAATATTATCTTAATATTCTAATTAATACGAATTAATGCTAGTAATACGAAATAACAAATTTAACGCAATGTAGTCGCTAATACTCAAACGAAAGAGATAGACGGAATGGAAAAAGTTCCATCGATCATTTCGTTTACGCACCTAATATACCAAGCCAAAAATTAATTCTACGATGAACCACGTTAAACTACAGTATGAACAAGTATCGCGATGAAAGTGTTGTCGCCAGAACCTGGTTTAAGAAAATAGGAAAGACGGGCGCAACCTCGCAAACCCGAATCCATCTCTCACTTTCCAGGCCCTTTGGGCTGGTCACCTACGTACCAGACCCGAGCACAGGTCATGACCAAGTATGGTAGTGCAAGCGAGATCCCCTGTAAAACAGAGTCCTTTTACGGAGCAGACTCCCGTCTACTCCGTAGGCGGGTACGTTGTACCCAGGCGCGCACGAGCCTTTACTCCAAATCCTACTTACCAGGCAAAGACTAAACACGTCCGATATCTGGCTTCTCAATAGAAACCAGAGGGATCGGCAAACAGTCTTAGTGCACAGGCCCACTGCCCGTACCATAATAGGTACAGACCCACTGCCCATACCCCAAGTCTGTGTAGAGAAATCAACGAGCAAAATGAATTAATAATAACTTGGTATGCACAATGGCTGATCACAATTTAAGTCTATTAATAGATAGACTAAAATTAATAATAAACGATGTGATGATGAATATGAATATAACAATGAATATCGAATTATGATTTAAGTTTAACTTACAGTAACTTAACGCAGTGGTAGACGCACGCTTTGAAGATGTAGACGTTGATCGATGTCTTCTTTCGATGGAATAACTGTTTGGAAAAATATTTTTCATTATACAATACACATAGAATACATAATATTCACAGTAAATAAATCACAGTAAATGAATCACAGTACATAAGAAAATAAATATCGAAGCCAATGGTTCTCGAACATCTGTAACATACAAGGGATTAGTAACAAGAGAGGGGACACAACAATATGCACAGTAAATAAATTAATAATATGCACAGTAAATAAATTGATGGTTGTCGAATGCTTGCAACAAATAATGGGTTAGTAACAAGAGAAAGGACGAGTATGAGACGCGCAACCACCCTCCGCGACGGCTCACGAGAAAGTGAGGAAGCTAACGCCGTTATGTATTGGGCGTACGCAGGTTTGTTCGTGTTGAATTGTTTTTGCCGGCTTGAACGACCTTCCTTGAACGACCCATACACCGGATGGTACAGACAGGTACGCAACGTCACTAGCGCGTTGGACCGACAGAGAGCACCGATATCGCGGCACGCTCTACCGTACTCTCTCGCTCGCACACTTCCCCCAATAGACCACCGAAATTTTTCGGCACGCGTCAACACCGACGGAGAGCACCGATACCGTGGCTCTCTCTATCGCTCTCGCTCGCACGCCGTGACGTCACCCGATTCCCGGAATCCCGCGGCTACGAGATGGCTCATTATGGTAAGGCTTCCCGTAAGAGAAATTGTAAGCCGCCGGCCAAAAGGTAGATTTAATAAATTATTTATGAAACTACATCTATTCTGAATTTATCTGTTACAAATATCCAAATGTAAGGCAAGATATAAAAGCGAATAAAACAAGAACATGTAAAGAGTAACATTAGTAAAATGTCCATTAACGATGCATTTAGAATAAATTGTCTTGTAGTTAAGTGAAAAAATATATACTTTTCCGTTTCATGTTTCATGACTGTCATATTTATCCCTTAACCTTAAACTGAAGCATCGGATATTTTTATTCTCGTGAAATCATATAGATACTTGTAATATGAATGGAATATATAACACTTCATTTGTGCTAATAATACTCAGAATTCAAGCTTTATCGGTAACGTCGGGTATTGACACTAAAATGGTAACAGGGCTACTAGCCCTATGAACGTGGGACAGAAAAAAGCATTGGATGATAGGTCTATTCTATACCTAGTCGGTGCCTATACCTCGTCAGTGATGTTAGGTCTATTCTTATATTTCGTCTGTGCTTAGAACTCAGAGTTTATGCTTTATTGGTAACGTCGGGTACTGACACTAAAATGGTAAGGGGGCCTATAGTCCCCGAACATGTAACGGAAAGTTACATTGGATGTTAGGTGTATTCTGTATGTATCTCGTCTGTGGTACAGTCACGGATGAGGCACGTGTTACGCCGGCTTTGACAGAAAGCAGTTATGATTAATAATATAGAAATTGTATACAGGTAGTCGCGTTGTCATCGCGAAAAATGCATTGTAATGCAATGAGTACATTTAAAGAAAATGTAACGATTTGATTCAGAGAAAAATAAAGATACAAGAAGTCACTCTAAGAACTGTTATGATTTTCACGATATTGTAAATGCAGATAAACCGCTTCGAATAAGAAAATATCAAAATAACTAAAGAATACTGAAAACGCAAAGAAGGTTAATTTCTTATCGCTTAAAGCAGGTTTTATATATTGATACTTTCAAATGTCTAAAATATTGTGGTATTATTGGAATGTTCGTCTGACACTGTTCTAATGTCATAATAAACTGTTTTACATTAAGCTATGTAATTGTTACAGTATCTTTTTCATTTGTTAAAATCTTTTATATTCTGCGATTGGTGTGACCATATATTTAGATTTTGTTCATTTATTTGAGGACAGGAAAAGTACGAGGTTTACATTAGTGAGGATTAAAATAGAAAGAATTCGTTAAACTATAAAATGACATCTTCATTCGATAACGAATATGAAAGTGAAGAATCTTCAGATTCAGAAGAGAGTAGTGAACTTTATGGTATTCGAGATGGCATATTGTTTATAATTGATGCAACACCTCGAATGTTTGACAATGATCCCGGGGAAGGAATTCCATATTTTTTACAGTGCATTAAGGTATATTAATTTATTATCTTTTTCAATGTTATTTCGAAAACTAATAAATCAAAACTTTAATTTTCTACTTTTTCTTTTGTGTATTTAATTACATATTAATTTGATGTATTATTTTCAACTAAGCAATATAAAGAGATTCTTAAGCAAAAATTGGTATGGAATAGACAAGATTGGATGGGTTTGATACTATTTGGTACTGAAAAATGGGATGAAGATTCTGAAATGAAAAACATATTGACTCTTCAGAAATTGAGTCTTATTTCCATGGATTTTTTAAAGCCAGTGATGAAAATAGGTAATTAAATAGGATTATTTTTTTCATTATGAGTAATATAAAAAATTAAAGAATTTTTAATAAACTTTTCTTGCAGAGATAACAACTTTTTGTTAAGTAATTGCAGAAATAAACTTCCTTAGTTCTACTTGATAGAAAGGATATTACTTTCATAGGAAAAATTTAACGAAACTTGATCACTTCGAATAATGACTTAACGGTATACTTTACGAAAATTTTGAGGCAAGAAACTTAAATGGCATCAAGGGGGCAATTATCTACAAAATAATTTTTATTACGTACTTACTATTTGAAAGCTATAGGTGCTCGAACTGATGCCCCTCAATTTCAATACAATGATTATTTTGTAAATATCTCGTTAACTATTGGGTTTGGGACATATGAAGATCAACACATTTTTACTCGGAATTTGATACTCTGTCGATCTATGGTAGAAAAAATAGGTCTTTCAGTTACAAAAAATCAAGGTGACCTTGAAATCTCGGAACTGCCTCCACCCACAAAAAAAGAACGCACCTTATAATAGTGCCCCTTGATGCCATTTAAGTTCCACGCGTCAAAATTTTCATAAAGTGTACTGTTTAGTCATTATTCGAGGTGATCAAGTTAGCTGAGACACCCTGTATAGAAATATTGTTTTCAAAATTTTAATAATTATTTCTATATTATTTGTTATATTTCTTATACAGATGAAGAAGGAGAATGGGAATACTACAGGAATATTGCTTCTTCTGCTACTTATCCACTACACGATGTATTGTGGCATGCAGCAAGTATATTTTCTGCCATTAATATAACCATGCCGAAGAAAAGAGTAATTCTTTTTACATGTCAGGACAATCCTCCGATGACAAATAATGATGAGAAGCGTCGAATAATAGTAAAAGCAAAAAGTTTTAATGACATCGGGCTGCAATTAAATGTTGTCGGTCTGGGGAAAAATTGGAACCACGATTTGTTCTACAAAGACCTGGAAATGTCATCTGAAAAGATTGACAGCGAAGATTACAAAAGAACATCTCTAGATGATATAGTACAGCAAGTGAAACTACCATCAAGAAATATGGCAAGTTTACCTTGGCGACTTGGAGAAAATGTGATTGTAGATGTAACTGTGCGCAACTTTGCATCGTAAGGAACAAGTTTTGATGAAACCTTGTTTTATATTAATCTTGCCATTGTGATCAATTTACAAATATTTTCGATTATAGTAAACGGGCGTATCTGCAGAAGCAAGCGATAAGTAAAGCAACAAATGTTCCGTTAACTTTGCATACATACTTAACTGTGAAGGACAGTGACAATAAGAACGTGTGTATTTTACTGTCTCTATAATATTTTATAATTATATCTTTCTATGTATATACTTTAATAGAGATTAATATTTTTTTATGCACTTCAGGAAGACGATGAATGTGATAAACCACCGACGCCTGTCTTAGAAACAGAAATTCAGAAATATCAACAATTCGGTGGTAAAGAAATATACTTCACTCCAGCTGAAGTGAAATCTTTGTGCACGACTCGAGAACCAGGCATTGATTTAATTTGCGTAAAACCTATTTTCTACCACCCTATGTACCATTTTGGAATACCATATTTTGTTACACCCAGTAAAAGTACTCGTAAAGGTAATGTTAATTACAATTTCAATGAATTATAGGTATCCATATGAAAGTGTGAATACACGGTAAAATGATCCCGTTTAAATTTCATTTCAGATAACAATTTACTGTTTGCTGCATTGGTTGATAAATGTGATTCAAGAAATTTAATGATAGTATGTGCAGTGACACTAAGAAAACGCTCTTGCACACTTCTATACAGAAAACATTTTCTGCGTGGGTGAAGGCACAGAGATGATTTCAAGGGCATCTCTATTTTTTTTAATGAAATGCTATGTTTTTTTTATCGCGATGTGATAGCTGGTGTTGAGACGACTTCAACAAGTTATTATTGAAGGTCATGCAAGGTCAAACGTGGTTGTAAAATAAACTTTCTTACATTACAGGAGATGCTCGAAGTGGTGACCGTTTGTGTCAATGCAAAGTTTCAATCTTCGTATCGCTGCATCACGTGCACGTTTTATCGTTTCTAAACTTATTCTAGCACATGCTGCAATTATGATGCAGCGATACGAAGATTGAAACTTTGCATTGACGCAAACGGTCACCACTTCGAGCATCTCCTGTAATGTAAGAAAGTTTATTTTACTACCACATTTGACCTTGCATGACGTTCAATGATGGCTCGCTGAAGTCGTCTCAACACCGGCTATCACATCGCGATAAAAAAAACATAGCAATCCATTAAAAAAAATAGAGATGACCTTGAAATCTCCTCTATGCCTTCACCCACGCAGAAAATGTTTGTATCACAATATGCCTCCCTCTATACCGTGTAAGTTTTGTATATAACATTTTTTCATATTATTACAAATAACGGCAATATTCAAAGTGGACACAGTTATTGCCACACCCTTTCTAAGATAATAAGTATGTGCACGCAATTTTTTTCAGAAAATGTCCGAAATCTTGACAAAATTTCACAACAATACATCTACGACAATGACCAGCACAAACCTCCAACCGATCCAAATGAGATTGAATTACTAGAAAAAATTATTAAAAAATTAAGAATAGTATACGATCCAATGCTGTTCTCCAATCCGAAACTTCAAGTTCAACTTCAGTCTGTGGAGGCTCAGGCTTTAGACTTAGAGAAGCCTGAATCCCCACCCGATGATACTGGTGAATAAACTGTTTAGAAACACTAATTACGAAAGTTTAATGTAGACGAATCGATTTTCACATATCGATATTCTTTGAAGTTCCAAATATCGATGCAATGCGGGAAAGAAATGGCAAGCCACCAAGAAAGAAAGTTAAAAAAGCTGCCGAGGCTACTGACGAAGATGCATCACCAGAGGTTAAAGAAACGATTCGGAAACTTGTAGAGGAAAAAAAGGTATAAAGATGGATAAATATTTATTCAAACAGAAACAAGTAATGAACATTTGGTCTTAACAGGTAGACAACGTTACAGTAGCGGAACTGAAAGTCATATTACGAACTTTGGGTTTAAAAACATCTGGTAAGAAAAATGACTTGATCGATAGGATTAAAGAATATTATAACTGAAAAGGAAGAGATTTCGAAGAAAACTAATAATCTGTTAAAAAATCGTGTTTGTGATTTACAGTCTTTAATATTTATAATGAAACTGTGTACTGAACTATTTTGTATAACAAATGCGACGTATTATAAAATGTCTATATACACAGATCATGCGATTGTATAGTGAAATATAAATACGTATACAGTTTCTAATATTCATGATCAGATTTTGTACCTATCTATTTTTTGTAAAACAAATGCATTGTTCAATATAACGTATGTATACAAATAAAAGCATACAAATTTAAGCGATAAGTAGTATCATTACCTGTAGGCAACGATTTATAACTCGTCTTTTTCGGATACAGACTTTATATCTTTTACACATCCAACGAAGAGTGGTACGTTACTTGGTTTATGTTGAATTATAAACATGAATGGCCGATCAACCAAAAATTGTTCTGGCATATATATCATCCGTCGAAGTCTCATGTGTACAACTGAAATGAAACAAGTAAAAGTTATTTTGTTGAACCTATTGTACTTCATTAAAATTGAACGCACCTGTGGCAGCTGCAGCTTCTGTACCCTCTTCATTAACTTCTATCATAGCTTTGTGTAACACCTTACTGACCTTTAGGGGTACATTTGAAATGCGACCAAAGTCTGCATTGTCTTGGAACATTGTGTTTAAGCCGAGCTTGAACGTCAACATAATTAGAACACAGTGTTCTGGAAGATATGATACGTAAAATCTATTGTCAATACCTTGCGCAAAATCTTTTTTAAATCCACCATAAATTCTATTTTGAATTTTGGAAGATATAATTCAATTTCAGCGTTAGTTCGGGATGCATTTTCAAGTATGTCCAAGGAAAAATTGTTTTGCAACGTTTTCAGTCCGTCCACTTCATTCGGTAAGAGTACAGTCATTACAATATCTTTATTCTGTAAGATATTTCATAAGCTTTCTAACTAGAAGAATTCTGCGTATGAACATACGAAATATATACCATATATGGAATTTCGATAAATTTTGCATCCAACGTTGGTATTTCACCGTAATCGTATTTAGATTTATTGAACATTGTTGCCACCATTCTCTTCTCATTTCTTGTCACATGAAATGCTTTCTTCTGTGTCTGCTTCTTGTCAAATTTATGTAACCACATGCCATTATAATAAATTGCATTTATTAGTACCAATTTCATATGTTCGTCAAAATCATCTACAAAAAGTACAAACGTTATTAATTCTTCGTTAACTTTGTATACTTAACAAATGATAATTCACCTGCAGAAACAAGATCAGAAATTGTATGGTTGGTTGTTTCTTCAACCCATGTATTAATTCTTGTAGCTGCCTCTGTTTTATGTTTAAAATCTAATTTTGAAACGACAGATTTATAAGCATTTGTTCCTATTGTTGAAAATTCTGTTAGCAATTCGAATCCGTCTTGGACGTATATTGCATTCGCAATATACAGTTTAACATTACTTAATTCCTTATAAATATATAAATCAAAGATTAATCTCTATTTTAAGGTGATACTCCCTTCAAACATCATTTTTAATAAATGTTGGTTATCTTACATTCAATAAAGCTGTTAGATTTGTATATCCTTCTTTTATGGAACTTTTCTCATGGTGACAGAGACCACTAGTTAATTCGTTTAAAGTTTCAGTTTCTGCACCATGAGAAAGTAAAGATAAAATCATGTGTATACTTAACGGAGAACTCACAATATTTCCTTCATTGCTAAAACACAATTCCTAAAATGAATTATAGTAAGTATTATTTGTAATTTAGGGACTTAAATAATAATATATTAATCCCCTATCTTATAATTTTTTTAAAATACATAATACCAATATACTTACATTTTTGGCTAAACGTTGTAAATATAAAATAAATATCATATAAAATAGATTTTTAAATATAATTTTACTTACTTTGTTGAAAGCTTTTGTAAAGTCGGTGCAAGAAGAAGACAAATTTTTATATATATTTGTACTTTCCATAGTCATATTGAGCGATTGTGTTGAAGCAATAATAATAAATGCAGGTAAAACTATAAAACAATAATACATTTATTGAAATTGTAAAATATAGTAAATCCTCAATGAATGTTCGAAGGCTCCTTGGCACTGGCAAGGAGAGGTTTGTAGGTGTATCGTTGACTTTTTAACATGTTAACTGCCACAGTGAAACAAGTCATATGTAGCCAAACATACTTGATTTCGTTTTTTAAGTCATATATCGTCGGAAATGTATGCATTTAGTTAATAGAGGCTGTTTGTATTACTTAAAATTATACTGCGATATTAATTTTACATAAAAATTTTGTGATAGTATTTCAATAACTCAGCCTCATTGTAATGTTTCAAGTACGAATTATCTCGTACTTGGCAGTCAACGTGTTAATGAGGTTTAGCACAGTGATAGAGCTTCAAATTCTGAAGCCAATGATATTTCTTTCACCTGCATATGGCCATTAGTTTATGAAATATATAATGTTCAGTGTTGGGGAGCCTTCGAACACACATTGAGGATTTACTTCATATATCATAAAGTTTAGTAATTATATCTTGATGGTATGAAGCATCACCTGTCAGTAATACAAAAAGCAACATTATTATCCTAAATAAATGTTATACAATGTTAAACTGTTAAATAGATTATCGAAATCTAATTTAACGAAAGTAATTGCACTTGTTGACAATAAACAGCGACAGTAACATTTTATTTTATATTTTAATATAAATTGGACAAGATTTTTAAAACTTAATATAAGCACTCGAATAAATGAATTATTGTCTTAAACATTTTGTAATATATAATACGTCAGAATACTGTCAAAAATGTTTAAAGGAGGTTAGATTTGACATAGCACAACATAGCATTCAAAACATATAAAAATAGCGGGATACTACCTGTCAAAAAATAGAACGATCTACATATAAAAAGCGCGGGATGCTGTTCAATTTAAAATATTTGCGCAAGTAATTAATTAGTTATGTACTCTGACTTTGTGCGTTAATATTTCTAATAATTTTCTGTCCTATTTTTAACGATGACTTATCAACGCCCACTGAAAAGAATTTATGATTGAACGCAAGTTGAAACTATTGACATTCCCATGACACTGACAATGAGTCACAGATACGACGAAATATGAAATATGTACTATTTATTATTGTTCACTTATAGTAATAGTCTTAAAAGAGTGAGAGGGTAAAAAAATCTGTTTAAGTTACAATTTATACAATTAAAAAATATTCATAGTGGTAACTCAAAAAATGTTAAAATATCAAAATTATAATAAGTAAATTGGTGACAGTTATGATTAAGAATTGATTGATATGTATTTAAAAAATATAAATAAAGTCTATTTACAAGGAATGACTTACTGGAAGTTTAAACAAGGGTGTTTAAAATCTTATTTCATTTAAATGTATATATTTTTGCCAATTCTTTTAACTTCAGTGAAATATTTTTAGAAATAATAATTTAAAAAATCTGCAGCTTTAAGAAAATCCTTCAGAAATCATTTTTAAATTGGTATGAAAAAATCTCATATGGTTGTGTTTAATTCTCATAATTAATAAAACTGTGAACCTGAGATGATGTAGTAGTAAAAATTGGATTGGATGACCTAAACCAAACATTGAAAAGTCAGTTGATATCAATCTAACTGTAACAAATGGTTTAGATGTAAGGAATAGACTTAACATAGAATGTTTTCTTCTTTCGAAAATTCTATTTTCATTGTCATAAATGATAAAACTTCTGAAATCTTGTTGATTGAAACGTAAATGTTTAATTTAATATTCTAAACATAATTTAATGGTACATGTAAAAATAGTGACACATTAATAATGAAACAATAGTGTGAAATGTCAATTTATTTTTGTCGTTTCATGTTCTAAATGCAAGCTCAACTGTTATATGATACATACATAATAGGAAATGGTTTTGGATGAGTATCAGGCTTAGGTGTACTTAAATTAACGTAAATAAATAAATAAATAATTAAAATAATAAATAAATTGGCGTTGGTCTAAACTAAAAGTGGAAAGTTCTTAACTTATTTTTCCTTACAAACGAATTAAAGTATTAAATTCTTTTTAGGATAAAGGAAATGAAGTAGCTTCCCATTTGTTTATCCTTAAGTAACCAGCTTTTCTAATATAAACTTTTAATTATCTAGAAAAGTGTTGATTCAATTAACATTGAAATTTGTGATTTCCATTAGTCCATTAGCCCTACGACTAAATATAAAATTTAAAAATAAACTTATTTGTTTTGTATGTCTTATTCCATATACATATACTGCCAAATATATAGTAATAGTTATAAATATTGGTGGCAGTAACTTATGACTCACTCAATAAAACAGTAAATCACCCGATTGATATATCACCTGATAGACATTACAAATATCTTGAATCAATAAATATTATCACGTTTTGTTTTACCACAATTTAAAGAATCTGCCCTTTCTACACGCTGGAATACCTAAGTAACATAGTCGATCGAAGTCTCAGACGCGAAATGAAACATTCACTGCAACATTAACAGATAAACAATACCCATTTACCATAAGGAAACTCCCCTAACTAAGGTCTAAGTGAATTTTAACGCGTCCGAATCTGTCCAGGCGAGAATTCGTTCGATTTAAAGTACCATAAAAGAGAACTGTGTGCTGAACACAGCTAAATTGTAAGTTCATTTTTATGGTACTATTGGGTGGCTCCATTGTAGCCCAAACTGCGACCACGGCTGAAGTTTAAGCGGCGATCACTGCGATAGGAGGGGGTCGAAGCATCGACTTCGTGGCCGACGATAATTTCTCCGAGACCAAGTGAGCGATATGCGAGGATCTCTTCCAGACGAATTCGCGCGTTCTGTCGTGGTCGTCTGAGCTCTCCACTCGAACCTGTTTGTAAGATACACACAATTATTAAGTTTATCCAGCAGAAATTTTTCGTCCTTAATTGCAATGTTCAATGTAATACAACTATTGTATATATTATGAACAATTTTTTTAGAGGTTAGATTCATTTTGAATAATGAAAAAGTAGCCGAAAAAAATTACCCGACACTACTAAATATGTACTGAGGTTCTCTATAAGTCTACAGAAGCTAAAAAATATCAGAATCAATACAATTCTGAATCGATAAAAATTCTGAAGATCAGCATGCGACCAAAATACGACCTAAATAAGACATTTTGAAGATGTTCAATTCTGCAACACTGGATGTTCTGACGACATGTTCTGGGCGTTTATATGACATTACCAGACGTTTTTAAGATATTCATAAGACGTTTCTGTGGTGTCCAGGCATAATTAGTGTCACTATTTATGATCGGATGTTCGAAGGTTAATCCAAAAGGAAAACAGAACCGAACAGAACGACAGATCCAAGATAAAAGTTAGATCACTACATAGACTTACTTGTTTCGGTTGTAGAACTCGGATGGAATTCAAAGTAGCGGCGCCACCGCGAAGAACGCGGAGGCTCAATTTTCCGGACATCTCGGCCGTGGTTGCAGTCGCGCTTCTTAATTCTTTCTTGGCCGCCCTGCCAAATTCCTTCTCGACTTTCAGAATTAGGGGTCCCAAGGTAAATTTTGTTTTGATCATCATATGATCGCTCATCATGTTCACGGAGACATCGCCCGATCTCTGAAGAGTCGCTAGGCCATAGAGTGTGGCTCGTGCTTTCGGCTTATTTTTCTTTGTCTGAAAGCCGTGATAGAGGTTACTACTTCACGTCCACGGAAATGCATTGTAACTGCATTTTAGAAAAATAGACACCGTAAGTTATTGAGTTAAAGTTTTTGTTTTATCCACGGAATAATAACATCCTGTTGCGCGAGGGTAGCATCGTTATTGTTTTGTTGTTCACCGAGTTTTACTTCGTCTGAAATTGTATTTCGAGATTTTCGGTTGTTTTCTTGTTAAAAAGTAAAATATCGTAATTAATTGTATAATTATACTAATGTATTGTATAAAGTTTAGAAGACTAATATCGTTCGATACTTTTTCTGTGATCCAAATGGGCGAAGTAATATTTATGGACGGGAATGTACAAGCAACCCTCGTATAACACGGTTTCGCTATAACATGCTGAGAATTAGGGAAATCCCCGTATTTCCTATTTACAACACGCTTTCGCTCTAACACGGTTAACCTCTCAAGCTGAGATCTAAATCGCTCTCCCGTCGGTAAAGTAGGTTTTCTCGCGCAAGTACAGTTTCGTATTCCCGGCACATGCCACAATATGTACTATAAATTTACACGACAACTACTTTCAGAAAAAATAAGATTAAAGCTCGTTAATGGCACAAAAAAGTAGAAACCAATGTAGATGTGGTATGTGCCCCTTTTCTAATGACTTCTTTAATTATGTAAAATAGTATAGTTTTTGAAACACATAGAATTGTCTAAAACAGTGTACTTTTGTTACTTGTACATACTAGTTCTTCGATTTGTATAACAAAAATTTGCATAACACGGTCGTTCTTCACATATATAGAGTGTTTCTAAAATAAGGGACTAAACTTTACTAAATCGTTACCTTATTTTTATTCGTGGTGGACTGGTTTTTCGTCTTGTTCTTCGTCGTGGTACGATTCTTGTTTGTTTTCTTGGTGCTCGAGGAGGTTTTTCTGGCAGTTTCCACGGAAGATCTGCTCGCGATATCAGACATGGGAACAGTGGCTGGATCCTTTTCCAAGTTAGTCACGGACAAAGTTATGTTCTCGAGAGATCCCGTGATTTTCTGTAAATTATTTCATTGCATGTTAATTTTAAAATAATAAAGCGCATGCCACTCAGTCAACTTTTTTAATTTAAGACAACTCGATTTGCACATGTACGCTATTTTCGTTTCAGTCAGCGTGGTAACCTCCAAAAATATGAATAAATAACGTTAATTGCTTTAAACGTGCTGCATTCTTTATAAGAAAAAAATTACTCTTGTTTCAAAATTACAGTTTTTACAATCTCATTCATAATAATTAGTAAAAACAGATATGCGATGTTTTTTATGTACAGTGACTTATATCCGTTCAAAAACTTTCGAAATAATAATTAAGTGTAAAATAATTTATGCAATTATTATTTACGTATCCTCATTATCTTTAGTTTTTCTTTTGTAATAAATTTTTCTTACTTTTGAAATAAAAAATTTCTTTAGAATAAAATTTTGTCACTTAAAATGGAAAATGTATGTCAAGAAGATTATTTAAAACAATGTAAAATATTATATTTTAAATAATATAGTAAGTAATATCGACATAATAAAACCCTTAGCCGTAGGAAATAAAATTCTAATTTTCATGTTTAAATATTAGTATTTAAAACTATGAATTTGTATAAATAACAGTAGTCTATTGTTGACCTTAAATCTTCTAAAATCTAAAATCTCTGGCGGCAACATTTGACTAGACCTAAAACCCAATCTACCTTCAATTACAATTCGAATTGCAGCGTACTAAGTGAAAAAATTTCAAAATTTCCATTTTAACCGTTTCATATATTGTTTTATCACGAAGCATAAACAGCAAAAAATCGATTATTTTCGGACGTTACCTGGGGATTTTCGAGAATTTCTTCGCCCGTCTTCTCACTTGTGGCGGCCATTACGATGGAACCGCTTTTTTTCGATTCGTTCTTGTTGCTCTTCTTCTTCAATTTGCTCTTGCTCTTTTGTTTGCTGGTCTTCGATTTCGAGTTCGGGTTGGTCAGCTTCACCGTTACCGGATCGTAATTGCTACGAAGGATTTTGTTGATCCTTCCGAGGATATTGTCCACGAAACGATTATATTTCGCTACGTAAATCGCCGATACGTCGCTGTTTGGGTCCGACTGCATACCACCTAAAATATGAAACACCCTATTCCATAATTGTTTTCTATCTAATACGCAGAATTCACTTCAGCAGTGAACGATAGAAAAGGACAAGTTCATAAAGTAATCTTATTTAAAGATAGAAATCTGATAAGAACACAAATCCGAAGGAATCCTATTCGATCTTGTTGCTGAGTTATAAAAGCTGTTTTTTTTTCAATTTCTTGTGGTAAACTGAGACAGTACAACTAATTTTACTAAATTATTTCTATACAATTCTCGATACCCAAATAGCGCATGACGCCTAATGACGCCTCAAAGACGGCTCAAAGGCGCATTAGACCTAAAATAGCCATAAAATGGGCGTCTTCAAGGCGTCATGTGCTATTTCGGTACCTTCCCCTTTTTAAAGAGATTTTTTAATAATACAGAAACCCCATTTTACTGCGATTGGAAACTCGTTTTCAAACTAATGGCGGCCATTTTGTGCATTTCCTATTGAGGTCAGCAGCTACGTTTATTGTAGATGGTTCGAAATGTTAATCATTACAATATATTGTAATTTCATCGACTCGAAGTTGTACTAAAAAGTTTGTTTTCAACCGTTTTCTATGTTGCACTATTATTATCTGAAAATAATAATAAACAACGTTACGTTGCTTTTAGCCACTATGTATTTTTGTTATTAACGTTTCTTAAATTACCATAAAGTAATATAAGCAATATGTAAAACGTAATGTTATATTTTTTTTATCCGTTTTTAGACAATGCCCCCATTATGAATATCGATATGTACTTACGTAGGTTGCATAGTAAAATCACGGCTATTTTTTTACTATGATTTTACCATCACTTCCTACTTACATAGTCGCGTTAGTAACACTCGCATTGCATTTTCATTTTTCAACAATAATTTTTAATTACCAGGTACACCGACGTGCAACCTCGGCTTCCTCTAGGCGAAAAAGTGGCGTAAGAGAAAGGCCTCCTACCACTTGGTAAATTTGTTTCAAGTACCGAAATAAATGTTAAATTGAATGTTAATTTGACATAAATTTCAATAATTTTCGAGGCTGTGATAGGAGGCCCTTCAAAAGCAGTCAAAAAAGTACTAGATCTAGTACGAAAGTACTACTGGTGGTCACACTGACCCCCACTGTTCACTAGAGATGGCGTGCAACATCACTAACGGTGATTTATCACAGTGATCGCTGAATCACGATCACGGTCGTGATTTAACTTCCGTAAGTCCTTGACATTAAACCGAAAAACATATTCAATATTTAGGATAAATTACATTAATATATTTGTATTTTTAAAAATCAGTAGAAAAAACAAGAAATTCTAAAAGAATAATTTGCTATGTAACATGTAGATTATAATTTAAAATCATTAATTTATTATCATTATTCTAATTATTCCTTCACTTTATACGATATAACTCGAATTTTTGTTTCGATGTCGTTAATTTAAAATATACAGATTATGTGCCGCGTGTAAAGAACTGTTATGTTTCTCCACCAGTCATAAACGGTCACGAAAAATCACGCATCACTGTGAAAAAATCATCGTGATTGGGAACGAATGTGATCGAATCACTCGTGATTCACAAGTAGCAATTCACGCCATCGCTACTGTTCACGCGTCGATCCTGATCCGCTCGAAGAAAGTGGCTTAAACGAAGATCAACGACCGGGGAGAGTTTTTAGGTAGGCACGAGGAGGAAGGTTGCTTCTGGCGCAACAGGTAGATAGGTCTCTAGGTGAGTAGGAACCGGGTCGTGGCCCAGATCCGGGGACCAGTTTGGCTCCGGCGATTGGATTCCATCCGACATACCGTTATCATTGTCGCTCTTTCTTACGAACTTAATTCATCGAGGTCGGCACACGGAAGTTTTATTTTTTTTTTTTTTGCTTTCTCGTTGTCGATTCCACCGCATAGCTTAACGCCACGCGCCGCCCCGTCGAGCTTAACGATGCTTGATGATTTATGTATACACTTCCTAATAGACTTTCGGTGCGTACACCAACGTTCAAAAGTATCGTTTGATCATGATTCAGAACTTTCACAAGAACATAATGCACTCGAATGTTTAATTTTTTTCTCCATAATATCGTCTTTAGTCGTACACTAGGTACATGTTAAACATTACCAATTATATAGGGTGTCCCCCATTTAAATCGACCCACTTGAATATCTCCGAAACTGTTGACTATATTAAAAAACGTTTCAGTTAAAAGTTAAGTGGTATTGGGCGGCATACTTTCTGTTGTAACTTTTTTCTTTGTGGATGCGTGGAGGTCATATGGAGGTCAACTTTGCTTTTTTAGATGGAATCGTATATTTTTAATGCACTACTTGATGCTACATGTGTCCATTCAATAATCGAGGTTATGTGGTCCACTCTGTATAATCATATTTATCACATTGATACATTTACAAATAAACCACCGTATCGTCTTATATTTGGTTGACAGAATACAAAATATATTTGTAAAAGTTGGAAGACTAACCTTAACAGACATTAGACGTGCGAAATATTTTACGTGTAATGAGTGGGCGAATACTTTTGTCAGTGACTGTACGTGAAACTTTGGTTTCCCTGGACCGATTTTATTCAGAAAATTGTGTGTCAGAATGAATTTGTCATTAGTTCGGATAATGGAGACTTTACTGTACTCTGTTAGGAGGTTGGACCATGCATTTTTTCATTTGATTGAAATATACAAAAAGGCGCCATTTTGGAGCAAAATATTTTTTTTGCAAGAAAATGATCCTTTATTTACGCATAAGTCAGATAAAAAATAAAATAATGAAAAAATTCTATGTCGCACAACAGGCAATTTAGATTTATTTAACAATCTATTAAATAAATTTTATTTCAGACAATATTTTCAAGACTAGACCGTATGTAGTCAATAAAGACAGACATGTACAGCGGGTAACAAAAGTATTCGCACACCCTTGAAAACAGAACAACTTTTTTAAAATTGGTTCAAGTGACTTGAGTTCTTTGGTGAAGTTAGGAATATTAGTTAACTAAATGATCTGTAAAAGATAGTACTTGTTGCTTTTTACAACTTATTTAGTTGAGACTGTAATGAAAATTTAGTAAATACATTTCGACGATTTGTGTTAGTTATATACATGTTGAAAATTTCATCAAAATCGGTTAACGTTGCTATGAGATACAAACAATTAAAAATATTGAAAATCACAGTTTTTCGCGATTTTCGACTTACAACTGTAGTAACTCTAACAATTCTTATATCTTTTGATGCCTGTCGCTCGTTTTTGTATCAACCAATTTCAATGAAAATTACAGTATGTTGTTACAATATAACTAACCCAGATAGCACATGACGCCTTAAAGACGTCTATTTTACGGCTATTTTAGGTCTAAGACGTCTTCAAGGCGTCATATGCTATCTGGATAACAAATCTTCGATAGGTATTTATTACATTTTCATTATAGCCTCAGATTAAAAAGTTGTAAAAGGCGACCTTTACTATTTTCTTCGCGATTCCGACGAATTGCAACTTTATCAAATTGTTTTTTTACACATCATTTAGTAAACCAATGTTCCTAACTTCACAAAAGAACTCAAGTCACTTGGACCAACTTTCAAAAAGTTGTTCTGCTTTAAAGGGTGTGCGAATGCTTTTGTTACCCACTGTACCCTCGCGAGCAAACTCGGCTTTCTCTAGGGGAAGAAGTTGACGTAGGAGAAGGCCCTCCTACCATGCTCCTACCTGTTAGTATTTGGAATTACTGAAATTTATGCCAAATTAACATTCGATTTAACATTAATTTCAGTACCTGGAATAAATTTACCAAGTGGTAGGAGACTTTTAGTCTACGCCACTTTTTCCCCTAGTGGAAGCCGAGTTTGCTCGTGGGTGTACCCATGGTGTACCCTCACGAAGGGGAAAAAGTGGCGTAAGAGGAAGGCCTTCTACCATTTGGTAAATTTATTTCAAATACCGAAATAAATGTTACATTAAATGTTAATTTGACATAAATTTCAATAATTCCCAATACCAAGGGGTAGGAGGCCCTTTCCCTATATTACTTTTTCCCCTAGAGGAAGGCGTCCTACCACTTGGTAAATTTATTTCAAGTACCGAAATAAATGTTAATTCGAATGTTAATTTGGCATAAAATTTCAATAATTTCTGATACCAAATTTTAGAAGGCCCTTCTCCAACGCCACTTTTTCCCCTAGCGGAAGCCGAGTTTGCTCGCGGGTGCACATGTCTCTGTCTTTATTGATAAATGTCTTATTGAAATAAGTGTGTTTGTTGCACAGAAATAACTTACCAGAAATACGGTATTTCTTTCGAAGACATCAATCGGTGGTCTAACCTCCATAATAATAAGCAAATGTCACGGGACAGTTTGGAGCGACAGCGAGCAATGACCCGATAGTAACGACTTTGTAATTCAGCATGAGCTGTCCCCCTAACGGCTCGTGATGTCCCACTTTTCGTTTTCGGTGGCGAATTCGCGAGGAACGCGGCCGATCGATTGTCCCGTATTATCCGCCGCACAGTGGTCCGGATTGGAAAATTGACTGACATTTTTCTATAACTTTTGAACCATAAGAGATATTCAGACGAAATTTGGAATCAGTAATACATTAATGTAAAGTTACAAATAGGTTAAAGAAAAAATGATAATAATTTTATTTCAACAATGTTATTATTATTTAATTATTAATTCCCTAGCTTCGGGATCTAAATATTTAATTTTTTAAATCGAGTTTCTTATTTCCGCTGAGATAAAACTGTGCGCACGGACCGAACGTTAACAACTTTAATCACTAATAATTTCAACAGTGGGACGAAGGGGAAAATGATTCGTATATGATTATTTACAAGAAGGTGTGCCGAAAATATTTCAATTTACTCTCTTAATTGAAAGAATATCGCAAATTTCTCTTACTGCATTCAGCGGTATTTTTTAAATAAAGTATTTACATTAATTAGTAATAGAAGATTTGATTTTTTATCGCAAAAGTCGGCTCTTCAATTTAAAAAAAAAGCGAGAGAAAATATTAAATAGGATCTTCAGGGCATCGGATTAAAAAGAAGCAATTTTTGTCGTGAAAAATACTATTCTTAAAATATCCTAACTTTAATGTTTATTGCAACTATAATATTTATCAAATTGTACTAATTTCGTCATTTCCGATGTCCATGGACATTTAAGAAACTAAGTTCATTAATTAGATATCGATACGAGAAGGTTCCTTTTTGGGCAAAATGTCACTCAATTTTCCAATCCGGACCACTTTGCGCCGGTTCGAGGAATGAAACGCACGGGGAGTCACGTGGTCTCTCGCAGTGGATCGAGGACGTTCTAGCCGTGACTTTGGGTGTGGGTCAGGGTCGCGGACAACTGTCATGGCCGCCGTCGCTGCGGCGCTCCGGGTCAGCGGCCTCGTTTCTGTTTTGAACAGGCCAGCTCGGTGAAAGCCGAGAAAAAATTTCAACCGGTCACACCTTAATCTGTCCTCGTACCGGAGTCCTGTAGAAAGTTAATTGGCTGTCTAATTGAAACTCCCGCCACGTTCCCCCTGATTCGTCGGCGACTCGACGCGCTCTTCGATCACCGTTTCGATGAAAATTGCCGTGGAAACGATTGAACACGCTTCCTTTACCCGCGTAATAATCGCCTGTGATTATAGAGTAGCGATTATTAGCTTCTAGTGCCTAGTAAAAACTGTGTTGTATGTGATGAAATTAATGAGTACGATCACTTTTGTTCCTAGATTGCGTGTGTACACGATTGCTGAGGTTAGGTTTCTAGTTTTGAATCGGGCCAGAGGATTGACAGGATTTGCAAGAGGCGATACCGGAAAATTCGGAGAATTCGATTGGCGATATTGACTTTCGATGGTTGTGTAAACACGTCTAGCAGATGGCGTACTGTGATCATCTTTTAAAACGATGAAAAGACAGTAAACGCACCAATGAATGAACACTTTTAAAAGACTTTGTTACTATTAAAGTTGAATTTTCAGTGTTAATAATATTGATAAATATTTGGTACATTAAAATTAGATTTTTTAATGACTATACTATCTTGTAACGTGTAAATTTCAATTTGAAAAAGTGGACCCAGATAGCACATGACGCCTTGAAGACGGCTCAAAGGCGCCTTAGACCTATAATAGATATCTTTAAGGCGTCATATGCTATCTGAGGAAAAATGTAATAAATTCTATTAAAAAGAAACAATACAGATTTCACTAGTGAATGAACATTTCTAACCATAATAGCGCGAAAATTGTTTGAATACAAAACAAGGAATTGAAGAAAATCAATATTTAATCATTTGTTTAATTTAGCACCAGGATTACCAAGCAAGTCAAAATGACTTGTCAATACACTCTTATAACGACGATTGAAATGTTATGACAATACATTTTCTTAGATCTTTTGCACCTTTTATTACGATATGAAAGTGAAGAAATTAGTTCATTTCTAAATTTCTAAATTTTCAAAAGTTATTCACGTTTATCCATCGATCGAAACAAATATGCGTTTATGGTCGGTAGTTCTAGCGTTAATAACTTAATTTAATCGTTTTTGTATACAATGTTCGTTCACTGGTATCGTGTTAAATTACTGGTGCATCCATATGTGGTTTTGAAATTGTTGTTTGGGGGATACTTGTGAGGCTATACATGGGTGAAATATTTTAAAAATCGCAGAAAGTTAGTAAAAATGAGATAAATTTCAACTGTATGTTGAGTGTATGCTTAAAGCATTCGTTAAAAATATGATACACCTGATGGGTTAACTTTCTAACGGTTGGTACGATTACAATGTACATTTACGAGTAGGCTTTATTAACGTAATAAACGGTTAAATCTGAGTTAGATTTATTAATTTGATTTTTCTTCATGGAAAGTAGCATCACCCAGATTTTTACCATTCACTGCTCCAATAACGTCAACGAAATGAAATAACGAAATAATAATTATAGAACAATATCAATAAAACTATTACTTAGATTAATAAAAATTGTCAGATAGGAATAAATAAAATTGCAAAAGTGTCTGACGGAAATTTAAGAAAAGAAAATTAACAGAAATTAATTAATTATTAACGACTCAGCATAATAAAAATAATAGTGAGTATTAATTTCTTAACATTCGAAATTAATTTTAAAAACCACAACACTTTTGAGAGTATGATTTTTACCTCTTGTTCATGAGATTCTTTTCAATAAATCAAGAGTGGTGGGGGACACATGTCCTCCGTGACCTTGAACCACCAATTAACTACACCCCAACATTTCTACGGTGCTTCTACATCTACAAGCCACGGAAAGTGTGGGAATCATGTACTGATTCACAAATTTGTTCACAAAAGATTCGTTCATGCAAACTATATGCACAATTTCATCTGTAAAGGATAGCAAAAAGGATTAGCACAAAAGGCTAAACTAGGGTAAATCAGCTGATCCTTGAATTAATTATTTTTTTTCAAATATATACGAACAAATTTGCGAGTCACTGTGATAGGTTAAGTTTCGTGCTACTGTCCAGTTGTATATGGTTGTCATTTGTCGTAAAAACCGTCCACCAAACACGTGCAGCTATTTACCAAAGGAAGGGCAAAGAAATTGAAAGCGAGTGTGCTACTGGTGCATCCACGAACGAGTGACAAGACATGCGAAATTTCTCGAAATAATGGGACCAATTTACGGTAGCAATCAAACGTTTGCAGTAATTTTTCAAAAATTCGAAAAATATTATCAAAACACTACTTTTTCCGTAACGAATTCTACATAATCTTAAAAATACATTTGCAATTATATTATACAGGGTAACCCATAACTGGTGGAACAAGCGATTCTACACGAAAAAATAAGTCGAAAATGAATAATAAAATTTTTTCAATAGTTGCTTCGTTTAAGAGATAACTGGACTCAAAGTACGTCTGCACTGAAGTTAGGGTATAGGCTACGTTAGGCTAAGTTGAGTGCTTAAAACTCAATTATTTTGAAAACGAAGCTCCTTACAAAAAAATTCTATTGTATATTTTGGACTTATTTTGTCACGTAGAATCACTAGCTGTCCCCTTGTACCACTAGTTACATTCTTTACTTCAGAATTCCTTATTTGGACTTGAGTATCCATAGCTACCTTAAAAACACATAACTGATCTCAAACTGGATTTTTAATCTAATCTTTCGTAAATTCTGTAATTGTCGAACTAATAGAATGACATTTACAGTCAAAATTGCAAATAAAGCAGTGATGTTAATAGCAAAACTCCCGATTTATATGTTGCATTATGAAAAAAGTGGATCTACCCATTCGGTTGCCAAAGTGTTAACAACTTCTGTTAGCTAAAGTTGCAAATAAGAATAATACTAATTTACTAATAAAAACTAATTCTTATAATACAAAGGAGAAATAAGAAAAATTCTAAGTGAGATTTCGAGGTTAGGAGGCCGATTGCTGCAAACGGTTCGAACAGCTAAGTGACACAACACATCACGCATTTAAAGTGGAGAAAGTTCCAAAAGGTTGGTTTATAAAACTCATTTTACCATACGAACGGTACTTCACGAGGGAAAAGCTACCCATTTTTCGTCGGAAAAGAACTTATCCTCTGGATCACTCGTCGCGGCGAGTACCTGGACAAATACACGAAACCGGTTCGACACGGACAATGGTGAGAGAAATAAAAGGCAAGACACAATTTTTTTTTTTGTAAAAACAATAAGTTATCTGTATTTTGCAATCCAGAACGGACAATGTCTCTATACAAGCTTCTTTTCAGACAGTAACATTACGATTCCACGAGACAGGCGACGCCATTGTTGGCCACTATTCATTTATAAATAACTCGATAATTTTAATAATTTACCATAAATTTATGGATGGAATAAATGGAATGGTTTCTGGAATGAAAAATTTAAAGTGGAATTATTATATTTCGAGAAAATTAAGTTCGAATTGAAGAAATATGTCTTGTAAGTAAGGAAACAAGATGGCGGCCATTTAACGGTGTCGCTTGCCTCGTAGATCAATGACATTTTTGAATATATGGCTCTCTTTCTCTCATTCTTACGTACAAACACACGGGGTCTCTCTCTCTACTCCTCGTTCATTCGATGATCAGTTGATAAATGGATCGAGAAGGAAAAGAAAATACGTGACGTGAGGTCACCAAGCCATCCGTGATATTTCACATCATCAAAGTACCTTTTTTCAAATTTAGATATTCGCGATCGGTTTTCGACTTCACGAGACCTTCACTCGAGACAAAACTTAAGTTTTTTTTTTAACAAATATAAGAAAATCAAATTTGAAAAGTAAAGTATCGTTGGGCAAAGATACGAGACCATTTTAATTACTATTTTATGTGTCTTTGAAAATCTGAGTTGATAATACTCGACAGAAATTCTCGTATTATTAATCACGAAACTTAAGACACTTCGTTTATCCCAAAAATTTTCTATATAGTTCTCTTCATTCATAGATTGAATAGTTCGACTATAATTAAGAAAAAGTATATTGTTTAAATAATTGCCATTGTTTTCTGATATTCACAGTTCATTCTGAAATAAAAATTCCTTTTTCAACAGATTTTACTTTTGAAAATCTTTACAATTTGAAATTACTATGGCTTCTTATAGGTTCTTTAAATAAGTTATCTTGTTTATAAAATTTTATAATAGCCGAGTTCATCGAGACTGGACACAAGACCTAACAATCACGTACACATATAAGACAACAATTTACGCGACTGTATAAGTAGTCTAATGATGGATTACCGGTGACCCGGCCATAGGCACCCGAAGTTTAAAAAACGTAAAATAATGAAAGAAAAATATAGAACAGAAGTTTGAAACCTCGAAAAAAAATTGTTTAGTCGTCACAAAGTGAGGTTATACCTCAATTTCCCCACAATTAATATTGCCATTTAAACGACACTTTTTTTTTATTTTCATGAAGTATACGAATTTATCTCGTGCTCCGTTGACCAACTGGACGGACAATCTCTCGAACAAAAATAGCCCCGTGCGAAAAGGTACTTTGAATTTGTTCCTTCGCGCATTCGACAGCGCTTACACGAGCTCCAAGTACTCCTCGTCTATGTACAATCTCCCTGTTGCGATTCGTGACGACATTCAACCATTTCGCTGCAACACCGTTAGCCTAATGGCGACTGCACAGTAATGCAATGTAGATCGATATATTAGGTGTACCAATAAGTCCACTATTTTTTGGTAAAACTCTGTATTCGTTTAGTTATAATTTAAATATCCACCATATTTTAACAATATTCCTTATTTGTTCCAGTTGTCATCCGCCATTTTGACTGAATATAACGTTGGAAAGATATTCTGAATCTAGAATGTACCTACGCCATATTGGAACTATAATGAATCACTTATTGGTACACTTAACACGTTCACGCCGGGGCCGATTATAATACGGGTATATACGGGCCACCGGTGGCCCGCGCCGGCGTGAACGTGTTAAATACATTACAATACGCTATTCAATTGTCCCAATAAATTGCATTGAAGATGTAAGTCTTGGAGCGTAAAAGCAAAATGGAACTTGCATAAAAATGGTACTCATTTAACCCCTTAAGTGCTTATGTCGTATATATGCGTCATGACCAAAGTGAATACACAGCGGGAATAATGAACGTTACAAAATGTTTTAAAAATAATTTCTTAAAACTAAAGCTTTTTTGAATAACTTTAAACCTTTCGAAATAACAATGGCCAAAATGCGTTATTTTACCTGTATTTCTCGTAATGTGCACAATTTTGTTTAAATAAATATTCAATGAATTCAGAATCCCATTGTAGACTCCATTTTTGATGAACTGTGACGTTTAAGAGGTTAAAATTATATTTTTTTTTTGTTGTTTTGAACCTTGTCTCGATAGGCTAATGGTGTCAGTAGCGAAAGGGTTGACGGTCGGGGAGACGTAATCGGAAGTCGTGCAAGCCCTGGTCCAGACAAAGAACGCGCGGCGGAAGTTGCAAGGAGGCCGAGTGTTATTCAGTTCACCATGCTGTTCGACGTGCGAATGACTTCAAGTAGAGGTATCGACGTTAATAAATAGAATAAATACTAATACTACTGCTACCACACTACTGCTACCATTACTTCTACTGCCATCAAAGCCGGGCGTTCGTCAGGTTAATTTTTATTTAAATAATCCTCCGCAAACGAACGTCTCTTTATCGTCCAAGTTATAACAGAACGAAATTGTATGAATCAATAATTCTTTAGAAATAAATAAATAAATAATAGATGATTATTAATTGTGGGGCAATTATTTACCAGTTGCACCAACAAATTATACTTTGTTAAATTTAGGCAATCAAAAGTTGCTCAAACAAAAGATTCTCCGACGTCCGCCATATTGAAGAAGGAAAGGGCGGGAAAACAATCGAAATTCAAACTACGTTATCAGTTCGTTGAAAAAGATCTGTGGATTTCCAGTTGGTACTTCTAATAAATAAAGAGATATGATTAAATCATTGATCTTCGAGGTTTATGGATCGTTACTTAAATAAAAGTTAGCCTGTCTCTGACTACTACCAGGCCTCTTCAAGCTAAAAGCACGGCTGCCTGTCAAAGAAGCAGGAAATCTTTGTTGGTCGATCCCCGATCATGATCAACGAAGATTCCCCCCAACGTTCACGCTATTACTAATTCGTTCCTACGTGGATCGTTTTTGTAGAATTTCATTTTCGGGGGATGGGAATAGAATCTGTCGAACAGCGCCGAACGAAATGGTAAATACCGGAAGTGTCACGGTTTTCAAACGAGTGTGCAAGTTTCAATGGCCGTCAGAACGATTGTTGTCGTTCGGGAACGTTTAATCAGAGGGACGAGGATAAATCACAGATCATTCCTGTCCGCCTAATTAGCTTGTATGAGTTCCAAAAGGCTCGTTTCGTCTCTTTGTTTGCGGGCTAGTTACGGGCAGAGTCTTCGATGTCTGTTAATTCAATATCAAACAATATTTTGACTGTAGTTACCTGGTGAACAGTAATACTTGAGTACCCTGTAAATGTTTATGCATATCCAATTTTGTTGAACTAATTTACAGAGATTGGAATTCAACACGACTTAATTGAGAGATTAACTCTCGATTATCGTCTCGAACCCGGGTCCGCGTCGGGACAATAATCGTATAGGTAGAAATGCTTCAGACCCTCGTAAATTCCTTTTTCGTCCAAAGCCCGAGCCTCAGCAACAAAAGCAGAGTTGCAACAAAGTATGCGCTTGACATGATCCACGGCCTCCCCCACCAATGGTGAGGATATAGCCTGGACAATAATCGTGTGAAACAAACCAGACGATAATCGAAAGTCTGTAAACAACAACCAGTAGGTAATCTATTAACCCAAACAATGTCATAACCTGCTACATAAATCCAGCTACAACATCCGTCTCTGCCCAACCATCCGCAAACATCATATCCCCCAAAAACAGGATCAAGAAAGCACAACCAAAGACTCATTCGCGACCATTAGACACGCGCCTGTAAACCAATAAACAGACCAGAGTAATTGAGCATCAGAATCCGTAGGTAACGCTCGCGACTTGCCACTCGTTCCCATCGCTTCGTGTGTTTTTAAACGGCCTTCTTGGCGGGCGGGACGTCACGCGCGCGCGACGACTTGCGCGCGTGTTTTCGTCCCGCGCCGTGTTTCTTGCTCTTTCCCAGTCGACATCGTCGTCATCCTCGTCCTCGTCGTCCTCGTCGTCGTCGTCGTCATCATCGTCGTCCTCGGTGTAGACGAGATCGACCTCCTCGTCGTCGTCATCGTCGTCGTCGTCGTCGTCATCAGCATCCGCCTGATTGGTCAACACGGCGGGCACGTGGACAGGGCTTTGGACCGAGTCAGCGCCCTCTAGCGGCGTCTCGTGGATACCAGAAGCCGCGAGGCCCTCTGGGACTGCGTTACCTTCGTCTTCCTCGGCACCGGTTGATTCTGCTTCCTGTGCGGCTGCTTGTTCCGCTTCCTGCGCAGCCTGAAGCTCTGCTTCCTGCGCAGCGGTGTTCAGATCTGCCTCCACCGCTGCAGGAAGCGCAGACGCGAGGGGTTGCTGAGCTGTTGCCACTGCCGCAGGAGCAGCTACCTCCGCAGGAGCGTCCTCGTCGTCGTCGTCGTCCTCCTCGCCTGGAATTTTTGTTGTTGTTTATTAGCTGGGGGAACGGTTAACCTCAATCTTTTGCGATTTTAGCACAGACAAGGTATAGGACTAGATATTTCATATCTCATCGGAGTTGGTGGCCCACCTACATTGTAGTACCGACATGTTAAAAAGTCTATGATTTTAGCGACCTCTACGTTTTGAGAACGGTGAATCTGCAGTGGGTAGGAACACTAAATAATGATTTTAGCGACCTCTACGTTTTGAGAACGGTGAATCTGCAGTGGGTAGGAACACTAAATAATGATTTTAGCGACCTCTACGTTTGGAGAACGGTGAAATCTGCGGTGGGTAGTGACACTAAAATGGAAATGGGGTACGTAACCTCAGAAAAGTGGGCCGCAAAAATACATTGGATGAAATGTCTACTCCTATATCTCGTCTGTGATTTTAGTAATGAAGAGAATGAGGATATTTGTGTAAATATGGATTTTTATG